AGGGAACATTCTCTCAGAGTTGGGAGTTGCATAATGTGACCCACTCGGGTGCCTCTCTAGAGTGGAGCTGCAGAATTCCTTCCTACCAATGGCAGGGAAGAAGTGACTCAAGTTGTATTTGTCTTTCTTTGTCTCTTATCTGAAACCTGAGATTTATTTTTTTTTTCTCCCTTGTAATGTTTGTCTTTCTAACAGAGCACAATGTCCCATTGGTCCTGGACCTTGATGCTGCTTATAATCAGTGGATTCTGTAATTTTGCCCAGAATGTCATTGCCTTCAGTATCCTCAACCTGATCAGCCCCCTCAGCTACTCTGTCGCCAACGCCACGAAGCGCATCATGGTCATCACCGTGTCCCTCCTGATGCTCCGCAACCCCGTGACGAGCACCAACGTCCTGGGGATGATGACAGCTATCTTAGGGGTCTTCCTCTATAACAAGGTATTAGTGGTTGGTTGGTTCAGGAAGCTCACACCCAACAGTCCAGCGTTGAGTGGTTTGTCCCACGAGTTAACAGCCAGCAGAGGAGAGATGTCAAACGCGTGGCATGAAGGGTGATGGCAGAGGAGTCTCCTGAGGGAAGGGCCTGGGGGCTCGGGTCAGGCCAGCTGCTTCTGCCTCTAGTAAACTAAACCTTTCATCTTAATATTTTCTTGGAAAATGAACATTGGGAAGGAATTTGCTCCACTCTCCTGAGTGAAGGAGCAGCTGGCTGATTTGGCGTGTGAGAGGAATGAAGGTTTTATTGGGAGTCACTCATATTTTAAGACTGGAGCAGGCATAGATGGTGGCGTGATTGTAAAACTGCTTTTTTCTGGGTAAGCATAAGTGCTGTCTGAGAAAATCTTTCTTTCCTAGACAAAATACGATGCAAACCAAGAAGCAAAGAAGCAGCTCCTTCCAGTGACAACTGGAGACCTGGCGAACCTGGACCGACACCGGAGCCCCCCCGAGAAGTCTCAGAACGGGCTGGCAGCCTTTGCACAGCACCCAGACTGTCAGTATGCTCGAACCAATATCCTAACAGACCACTTCCAGTACAGCAGGCAGAACTACCCCACTGCCTACAACTTAAACCGTTTTGATATCTAGAATCCGGGCAAACAGGTACAGACTGTGATATCAAAGTGTCCCCAACGTTATCAGAAACTTTTTAGTACATCCGTGAATGTAAAGCCATTTTGTTGTGCAGTTTTGCAGAAGGGAAGGTGCATGTGTGGTGGAAGTGGGACAGACCTCCAGCTGCTGCTGAGCAGGCTTTTAGCCACCAAACAGCTGAAAATGACACTGGAACTAACTGCACAGTGCAGCTCTTGTCCAGAGGTGCTGGGGAAACGCACGTACGAGACTTCAGAGTAAAGTATCTGCTGTCGCTGCTCCTTTCCAGAGCCTGTCAACTGAGAATTCTTTTGGCAGCTAAATTCTGGCCAGTATTTTGTTTCCACGCTGGTAACATCACCTTTAATTCGTTGTCTATTACATTTTAACCATTCTTTTGATGAAACTTTCAGAAAGAAGTGAAACTAAGGCGTCCTTCTGCTTAGCAGGATGTGTCTGTGTGGGGAGGGTTGACTCGTGGGTGTCAGCTGCAGATAGAGAGAGCTGAATTCATCTCGAGCAGCTACAAAACTCCTCGTGGGCATCAACTACTTTTGTGCCTCTGCCTTCAGTTTTTGATGACAAACCAGAAGTGTTTCTGAAGGAGCAGACAGCAGAAAGATCTTTTCAAGGAGCGTGCTTCAGGCGTAGAGAAACAGAGTTCTCTAAAATCACTGTTGTCACTGTAGCTCATGGACAAATGGAGCTCGAGGTCAGGATTGTTCTCTGAATAATGTAGCCCTGTAATTCAGACCTCGCTCTTCCTCAGCAGCACAGGGAACACCTTCTCCAATAAAGTGTTTGGAATAATAAGATGTTTTTTTTTACTTGCTTCATGCTGCTTATAAAACCTTTTGTCACTGTAGAAATTGAATGGTTTAAGGTGTTTTCTTCTCAGATTTATGTATAGATTATGCCCTCTTATATGATTCATATATTATGAATGCATTCATTGGAAAAATCATCTTCTGAATCGTTTAAATCTACCTTTTTAGCCCGTAATTGTGGTTTTTTTTTTAAGTTTAACTACTGCAGTTGGAGTTGCTCTCTGCATTGGGCCTGACTTCCACTTCCCACTGAAAGAAGCAAAATTTCGTATCCTGCTCTGGTCCTGCAGCTTCCCTAGCTCAAATAGGAAATTTTGAGGAAAAATTGATTTAAATCAGCAGTAAATAGAGAATTCATGCTTAAGAGGAACTGATTCCCTTAGTCTGGCTGAGTGTACTTAATTCTAGACAAGATCCTGCATTTGTGTGTGAGAGGAGGGAAACCAGCTGAACTGGGGTTTCACTGCACTAGGCTGTTACTGTTACTACTTTAGCAAAAGATTTTAGGGGCCTTTTTTTTTCCTTAACAGAGGAGCTGTTGTACAGTGAGACTTTGGGTAGCCCAAGTGTGATGTTTTTACTGGAGAGGTATTAGACAGCAGTGACAAAATTCAGGGTGCGGTACAGGACACTCCATTTATTTATTGCTTTAAAAATGACCATTTCTGTGATGTGAGATGATGATTTGGCTCTTGTCTGAATAATAAAGAATCTATTTTCAGTGCAGAGTCAACTGATCTTATTCTTTGGGCTGGCTCTGGAGGTACTTTTGTAGACTGCCTTCCACCATGCAGCCCAGAAGAGGAAATGGTCCCTGTGAAACTTCAGAGGTGGGTTAAATACCCTGCTGGTGTTTGTGAGCAGAACCTCCCTGGCTTGGCTGGAGCTGAATCTGTTCATGCTCACCTAGAACATGAGCTTTTAGTTTAAAAGAATCTGAATAGATTATTCCCTAACCTGGGTGAACAAGAACAAGGTAATGAGGAAGGACTTTCCTTCAGGTGGAATTTATTTTGCCTGTTCCAGTGTTAATTTATGTACAATTACTTCTTTTTAATGTGGGAAAGTGCAAAATGTCTTTTTCTAAGCCTCACTTCCCATTATTGAAGTGCTTTTACATACATGTAAAAAGGATTGTGCAGACTCTGGATTTGGGGCAGGTTCTGGCTCTGCAAAAGACTGATCTGAGGATGAGGTACTTAGGCTGCAACTTCTAAGAGGGGCTGAAGTTCTCCAGCTGCTTTCCAAAGGAGCTAGCTGTAAACTGCTAAGACTCCTGCAAACACTTAGTTGTCTTCTTTTTGCCTCACTTTCCTATTTGGAACATGAAGATGATTCTTCCCTGCTTCCCAGGAGGGTGAAATAGCAGCAGAAATACCTTTGTCCCAGATTCCAGTCTGGTTTTGGGGCCTGACTGTGTCTCTGAAACAAAACTGCTGCACTTGCAGAGCAGAAAGGAGCTGACCCAAAAGCAGGATATCACCCCTCTAGGGCCTGGAGAGTGAGTGTCTTCCCTGGAGACTGCCTGACAGTGTCTGTGCTCTCCTAGGTCAGGTCTGTGGTCCACAGGGATCATTTTGTATGGCAGAAGGTATAATTAAAACAATTAAATGGTCACAAGAGGTGGTTTTGCCAAGTCCCTGAATCCACGTCCTTAAGCAATATTGCCCACATTCAGGTGAGGGAAGGCTCTCAGCCTCTTGTAATATATATTTTAATCTTGGGAGGTTTTGCTTGGCAAGGTGAAAAGTTTCTTTTAACGTGGTTTGTAAATTACTGACGTATTTAACTGTGTACATAGGTCTGTAGAAAGTGTGGAAACACTGGAATAAAAAGGGCATATCAAGACAATGGTGTAGAATGACAGTGTTCTGAAATCACAGCAGAGGGGGCTGGTGGTTTGGGGTTCCTCCTCCCAGGAAGCTTTGGGAGTGCCACACGTTAGGAGTCATTGCAAGAAACCAGATGAATGTTTTGCTCTGTGGGTGTGACACTTCCCAGCTGCTGACCTAGGCTGAAGAGAGGGTGATGAGTTAGTCACTGGTGTCCTTAGAAATGTTCAGATTTCTGTTGTGCACTCCTGACTTAGGTATGGATACATCACAGGATTGGTAAATTCTTCCCCAGAGAGTCCTGGGTCGTTGTAAGGAGCAGTGTGAGAGGAACCAGTCTCCCCCTGCTGCCTGGTGGTAGCTCCATGGAATGTTTGGTGCTCTTTCAAGTGATCTTCAAAACACTTCCCTTGCAGGTTCACTTTTAGCACCCTGTGGTGATTAAAGCATCTTTATCATCTGGGAAAAGGCTTGTGCTTTTTTTTCAATAACTGAATGCTAAATAAAACTGAGGCACCACTTGGGCTTTGTAGGTGTACAGTGATCTGTCAGAACAGTGTTGGTGATTTGGGGCCAACTCCTGATTCCTGAAGCTTGAGACCTTTTCCTTCTCACCTGTGTTCAAACCCACATTTCTCTGATGTAGCATTTGGCAGCAGAAGAAACTTTCTGCCATGTAGCTCTTTGTGAAAAAGGTGCAATATAAATAAAAGGGAAGTTTTGCTTTTCTCAGGCTTCCGTTTCTGAACCATGTTGTAAGCTGGTAAAAATAATCCTGGAATATCTTTGTGGGGATTAAGCAGTGTGTTAATTGTGAGGTGGCAGGTGTGTGATGCCACCACAGTATGGAGAGAAACCAGTGCAAATATCCAGGTGGGAATCACCACCCTTCTTCTTCTCATTTCTTTATGTTGGTACTCCAGCAATCCATGTGAATAGGGGTGGGTTTACCAAAAAAAACCCACAGTCCTTCCTGTCTGGAGCCTGGCACTGAAGACAGTGAACACTTGTGTGGTTTTCCTGTCTGACTTCAGCCCTGTCGTGCTGTGAAGCTGTGGATGTGGATTCCCTGAGCTGGGCTGACAGGAGGGGACCCCACTGGTGAATTCCAGGTACTGGGATCCTCCCTGGCTGAGGGATCGTGGGGGGGTTTGGGCAGACACCTGTCAGGTAACTGGAGGGGCACTTTGTGGGTAAAGCACTGCTGTGTGCTGAGGAAGGGGGCAGCCTGGGCAGCTGCCTGGGCTCCAGCCTGCAGAGCTGTGTTGGGATGGAAGGCAGCAGCAGCAATTTGGACAAGTTTCTTTTAAATATAAGCTAAGATTTGAACTTATCTTGGTCTTCTGGGATCTGTGTTAATTCCCAGGACCACAGAGTGATGCAGAATCATGGCCAGAGGCTGTATTTGATTTTTTTGTTTGTTTTCATTGGTTATTTGGACACAAGGAAACATCTGTCTTTCTGAGCTTTTATATTCTGTAGATAATATAGAGGGGTCTTCATGGTATGTCTTGTTAAGAATAAAAAGTTCTGCCTTTTTGCAAGGGTGTCTGTGAGTGTATCTGGAACTCCTGTAAAGTGTAACTTGGTGCCTGAATCTCCAGGATGTGATGACAGCTCCTGGTGAGTGTTAGGAGACTCAGGTTTGCTTTTGGCCTCCTGGATTCTTTGGATTCCCCCTTGGATCCCTGGATGATCACTCCCACTTGTAGAGTCTGTTCTCCTAAAATATTAAAGGACATCAGAATTATTTGGGCCCCACTCTGAGTTTTGATGTTGAATTCTCACAAATGGTCTTCAAGTGTAGTGAGGTTTTGTGGGTTTTTTGAATTGCATGAGCAGAGGGAGCTGAGACATTTCTGACAGGCTTTGTACCTCTTGGCTTGGGTTTGAAGCTGATCAGATCAGCACCTTGCTTTTGAAGGAATATTTTCCTTAATCCAGCAGCTGTGTAAATGTGTATTTTTAATACCACTTTGAAAAATAACAGAGTATCAGGTGCAAAAGGGAAGTCAAGAACCAGGGTGATTTGAACATTTTTAACTGCATGAATAGTCACTTAAAGAAAGCAACAGTGCACAAGTGATGTCCCTGCAGCTCCTTTCCTTAGCAGTTGTATTGCAGGCTCAGTTTGCTCTCTGCTGAGCTCCCCACACACCCATGTTCCTTTTTACACCGTGCCAGAGGTCTCACACCCACAGCCCTGAGGCAGCTTCTCCCACAGGGGCTGGGCAAGGGCAAGCTACAGGCTGAGGTGGCTCCTGTGGAACTGATCGATGATGTTGAACCTCACAGTTGACCTTGGCCCAAGGCCAAGTGCTGGGTCCTGCACTTT